TCCATTTTTGAAGTGGTCCAATGTGCTGGATTGCACTAGATACCCCGTGTCTGTGTTCGACTGTGCCCGGGGAAGGGTTACATATGAAAAAAAATCACTCCATTCCTTCCTCAATATCAAGGATAAATTTATTCGAGTGGTAATGCTTTTACTACTGTTACTACTAGCAACAACAACAAAACATCAGCAGCAATAATAATAATAATAATAATAATAATAATAATAATAATAATAATTAATATTATGATAATAAATTAGACTGTATTAACTCTCCACCTTCCCTCAGCCTGTCATGGCCGGGTGACGTCACAAGTATAAACACACGAGGGACTCGTGAATAGGACCAGAGACGCGAGGTGATGAGAGAGCCACTCAAAGTGCTTATTTAACGCCTGACTTTGCTGACTTCTGCTGTTTTCTGCTGATATCCACCGGGGCTTGCTGATATCTACTCACTTCTGCTGATACCCACCGGCGTTTGCTGATGTCTACTGACTTCCACTGTTGTCTGCTGATATCTACTGACAATAGCAAAAGTCAGTACATACCAGCAAGCACCAGTGGTTATCAGCAGACAATGGCAGAAGTCAGTAGATATCAGCAAGCACCAGTGGTTATCAGCAGACAATAGCAGAAGTCAGTAGATATCAGCAAGCACCAGTGGTTATCAGAAGACAATAGCAGAAGTCAGTAGATATCAGCTCATCTTGGCTGATTATCTACTAACTTCTGCTTTGTCTGCTGATACCTGCCTGTGTTATTTCCCACGGTAGTGTGGGCAGCAATACATATGACTGGGACGTGGATCACCTATACCTTCATACACAAGCGGCACCCCAGGGGTAAGGTTCAAGCCCCAGTTGCATACCACTTTGGTACTCTCTGGGATCCTTCCTTATTGCTCCATGCTCAGTGGTGCAGTTGGTAGAGCTACAGGCTTCCGTTTTGGGGTCCTGCGTTAGAGGCTCCGATGGTGCAAGGTAAGGTAATTTTCAGGAGAAAGCGCCTCTGACATTCTCTGATGGCTGAGTCTCTGAATCTCCCGCTGACTCCTCCTGACACCTCGTGGCCGCCGTTACTACTAGTGTTCTCAACAGTGTTTTCCAGCTTTCGGCTGACGTTCGTTTCAATCTGGATTTATTCGTTAGAATGAAAGAAAAAGAGGAACTGGAGAAATATAAGGAAAACTAATTGAAACAAAATGAAAAGAAAATTATTAGAAAAATGCCAAAATAAATTATGAGGAAATCGAAAAGGAAAACGACCCCCCCCCCCCAAAAAAAAAAAGTAATAACAAAGACAGGAATACAAATCAAAGACAACAATACACATAAAAATGAAGAGTAATCATAATTTAAATTATGCCCTGGAGGGCGAGTTTAGTGGGCAGCGCTACTCATCCTGTGAGTTAACATACCGCCATAATGACATTATTGGGCAGCGTTACTCATCCTGTGAGTGAACATACCGCCATAATGACATTATTGGGCAGCGCTACTCATCTTGCGAGTTAACATACCGCCAAAGCAGCATGTACCACCAAACAGGAAGAACACCCACTGGGTTGTTCATCCTGTCACTTGTACCCAGACTCAATTGGGTTGTTCATCTTGTCACTCGTGTCCAGGCGCAGCTAGCCACGAATGATAGAATTCAATTAACTATCAAGGAAACAAGCTATCAAAGGGATTAACATTTTACAACCCCCCTCCCCCCCACGTTTACGTTATCTTGCAGGTGCAAAAAACAGTATCAAGATTTGACTAAAAGTGTTTTACTAACTTAAACAACGTGGGATCTTTAATACCAAACATTTTTCCATTGCTCTAAGGCGAGATCAAGCAGAATGTTGGATGATATGTGGCATGTTTGTGATGTGTGTGTGTGTGTATATATATGAACACGTCGTACTGAACGGGGTGAGAATAGCTTGAGCTACCTCATCCCTTTGTGTGTATTTATACCTCAATAAACTTATTTCAATTTCAATTCAATTTCTGAAGTGAGTAGAAGTATCTCAATTAGTGGTGCAGACAATGGCCTTGTGTCATGCTACATATTCTGCACATGTTGGCCTGTCGTTACCATGGCGAAGCTCCATGGTTACCAGTATCCAAGACAAATTCATACTATTACATATTCTTGACCACCTAATTTTCGTCCATAACGATTGAGATTGTCAGCCGCAACTCTACTGTACCAAAATTATTGGAGAACCCGGATGTGCGACGTTGAACCCAATGCGTTCAATTTCCTTTCTATTGGATGTTCTGCGCCAGCTTGAGGAGGGGAGAGGGGTTTATCTAACATCTTCAGACACCATCATGATCAGGAGCCCCACATTAGTGGTGAGTATGCCACGATATATCTAACCCATCACTTGTTAAATGTTATAACAATTTCCAGTTATATTACTATATTAAAATATTCTTAAATCTTGTGTAATATTATAAATGTTCCATCATTTGTGAATAAAGATTCCGCAGTTATGCAATTTGCTTAGCGCGATTTGTTGGAGCATTTTTGGCAGCCCTAGTGAAGGAGAGCTCTCATCCTCCTCTGGATGACGTCACATGTTCCTTGTCTAGTGCTGTAAGAGGACGGCATATCTGCGCCTCCGTGAGAACACCGTTTAGTTGTGCACGAGTGCAACACCAACTTGCCACCGTCGTCTCCAAGATGATGCATAGGTTTCTTTTGTGTATTTTTATCGTTGCTAAGCCCATTATGTGCCCGTGTAAGCTTTCCACTTCCGCCCACATGATGGGTATGGTGTCCCTTACCGGCCAAAGGTCAGGTCTGGGATCCACTATCCCTCACAGGATGAGTATGAGATGCATAATACGTAGACAAAACTAAGCTGTCTTGGTACCTTTAAAACACGGAGGTACCTGGAGCTTTGCAATTACTTTATTCACTCTCGTATTCTTGAAGATATCCTCACAGTATACCCAAAATTTGCCAGTGCAGGCTATTAAACACATGGCTCTGTATGACTAACCATCCTGCGAGATGGGGACTTGTATTACCACTGCTACCTTATTCAATCTTGTGTTGTTGATATCCTCAAAATGCATCCGGAGTCTGCCAGTGCAGACCTCTTATCACATGCCTCTGTATGACTAACCATCCTGTGTGATGGGGATTTCTTAGCATCACCTAGTTAGCTTTTTTGACACTGTACTCCACTTCATATAGTCTAGGGTAGCTGCACTAATGCAGATGTACCTCATTTCTTAATAAAAAAAAAAAAATTAAAACACGGTGTTCAAAAGTTTGCACATGCATAGGCCTCTGTGTATAAATTTATGAATTTGCACGGAGATACAGCACTAGTACCTGTAGTTGGTTTCGAGAGTTCTTCTACTCGTCAAACCCGGCCTGGGTCAATCTTGGCTTTTGATGACTTGATGTTAAAATCTTTTGTTTAGTGAGGCCCACAGGACTACAAATCTATTAGAGAGAGAGAGGTCTGGCACTCTAGTAGTGAGATGTAAGACCCTTGACCGTGTCAGGAGAGTTATAGACGTCAGGGTCTACTGAGTGGTGGATCTACTGAGAGGTGGAACAAAGTAATCAGAAGCTAGTCCTCGCTGACATGGACTATGGTCCGTAGAACAAAGGTCTCACTTCTTGCAAGTGGACGATCGGTGCCTGGAAGGTCTGAGGGGTTGTTCACCGTTCCTCCATTCCGTCCTCACACTCCCAGCTTCTTGACCACACAGTCATTCCAAGAGGTATATTGTCAAACACTCTTGGTGCTTTCTCCTCATAATTACCTTACCATAGTCCTAGCTGTTCCATTATTACAGCCAAGCTTGTGTGCGTCCCGACCCACCGCATAATGTTTTTTAACTTTTCTTGCTACATCATTATAACCTATGGCTGCCACTAGCCCCATACATCTGGTCTATTTGTAATAGAGGACGGTGTGTCGATGGGCTGTTGTTCTTCTTTTATAGTGAGTCTAAGATCTTGACTTTTCCTTAGTCAAGATTTTCATTAGACAACATTGCTACAGAGATTCCTATACTAGACGTTCGTCTTCTGGACTAAACTTTCAGTCTTACTGTTAGGTATGCGCGGTCTGAAGTGTTGGTGGTTGGAATGTAAGCATTATTATTATTATTATTATTATTATTATTATTATTATTATTATTATTATTATTATTATGTTTGTATTGATGTTATTATTACCTACATTATCAATATCTTTATGAATTTAAACATAAAATATCAACATGAAAGTAAAGTCAAGAGAAGGGAAAGGGGTGTTAGGGGGAGATCAGAAGGGGGAAAGACAACGTCACACCACATTGCTCTTCTTCTTCACCTCCCATTCCTGCCTACTCCTCCTCTTCCTTCACCTAACACCCCTTTCATCAGTCCACCCACCTGTTACTCTTCACCTCCCTTTCCTTCCTCCTTCTTCCTCACCCCCTTTCTTCAACTCCCCTTTCCTCTCCTCCCCCCCAGCCCCCCTCGCCCATATTAGGCATCCCCCCCTCCCCCACCTCTCATGTCACGGCTCTTGATATGACTTCTCTTCTTTTTCACACCTTTCCTACTTTCATTTCTAATTACAGGTCGGCATACAGCTGTCATTTCCCTGCCATCACCTTTCCCAGGAAAATTACAATATGTGTTGATAAAACACGCAGAAACTCTTAGACATTAATGCTAGAGGTTTTTTGGCTAATTCTCATTTAATACGACAAATTCTATAAAGATGATAGAAGGAGTCATAATGATAAAATAATATTAATAATAATAATAAAATATTTAATTATAAAATAACAATAATAATAATAATAATAATAATAATAATAATAATAATAATAATTCTAAAAAAATAATAATATTAAATAAGAATAAATTGAATAAGAACATATTTAAGGATGATAATATTAATTTAAATAATTAATATTTTTTATAAAAATAACTTTTATGACAATAATCTACAATTAAAAGTAATTTGGAGACAACGCTACATGCATTACGAGAGGTGTACTGTGCATCACGAGAGGTGTACTGTGCATCACGAGAGGTGTACTGTGCATCACGAGAGGTGTACTGTGCATCACGAGAGGTGTATTGAGCATCACGAGAGGTGTATTGAGCTTCACGAGAGGTGTATTGAGCATCACGAGAGGTGTATTGAGCATCACGAGAGGTGTACTGAGCATCACGAGAGGTGTACTTGTAACAAACTAGGCTGTTGTAAGAATTATCCAGAGTGGTTTATCGACAAAAGAGAATGGGAAGCTGAGCCGCATGGTGACCTGACCCCCAGGGGAATTCGCGGTGGAAATAACCAACGCTTTGTTCATAGCTGCGTAAAATGAATCATCCTATAGTATTCAGTAATTTAGAGAAAATTAGCCTTTATTCATTTTGCATTAAAATTGTATTGTATAATAGTACTGGATACAATATCAAGAGTATTCTAATTATTGAGTTTAAGTCACCATCAGTGACGTCACGAATCAGATCTAACTTTTGAGGCGGAGTGACCGGCGGTCATAGGTCAGCAGGGTTGACATGTCTAATATTTCTCAAAGTTTTAATAACCATTTTTGTGATCGGGAACAGCTCTGCCGTTAGATGTTTGTAATTTAATTCAGTAAAATAATTCAACCAGTCTGGATCAATTCAGTATAAACAGAGGATAATTGTTATAACTTAACCGTGCTAAAGTAACTGGGTAAGCGATGCGGAACAATACAAGGTTCTAGTCTGGGCTAGGCCAGACGAGGACAAGTCAGTGTGAATACGGGAGCAGCTGGGAGAGGTCAAACATCTTACCTCTCCCCAAGACATCTAGCTGGTCGCCCAAGGTATAGTTGCTATGGTTATGTATAGAAATAGTCTTCTCATTTGCCATTCAGGTCAAGTAGGGAGTGTTAAAGTGATAGGGAGTGAACACATTTAGATTTTGTTTTAGTTTTCTTTTAATAAATTAAATTTGTTATTAATTTGCATTTTATTGTTTCCATTTGGTTATGTGTAAACTTGTCCTGGCACGAGAGGTGTACTGTGCATCACGAGAGGTGTATTGAGCATCACGAGAGGTGTATTGAGCTTCACGAGAGGTGTATTGAGCATCACGAGAGGTGTATTGAGCATCACGAGAGGTGTATTGAGCTTCACGAGAGGTGTATTGAGCATCACGAGAGGTGTACTGAGCATCACGAGAGGTGTACTCTGCATCACGAGAGGTGTATTGAGCATCACGAGAGGTGTATTGAGCATCACGAGAGGTGTACTGAGCATCACGAGAGGTGTACTGAGCATCACGAGAGGTGTACTGAGCATCACGAGAGGTGTATTGAGCATCACGAGAGGTGTACTGAGCATCACGCGAGGTGTATTGAGCATCACGAGAGGTGTACTGTGCATCACGAGAGGTGTACTGAGCATCACGAGAGGTGTACTGAGCATCACGAGAGGTGTACTGTGCATCACGAGGTGTACTGAGCATCACGAGAGGTGTACTGAGCATCACGAGAGGTATACTGTGCATCACGAGAGGTGCATTGAGCATCACGAGAGGTGTATTGAGCATCACGAGAGGTGCACTGTGCATCACGAGGTGTACTGAGCATCACGAGAGGTGTACTGTGCATCACGAGAGGTGTACTGTGCATCACGAGAGGTGTACTGTGCATCACGAGAGGTGTACTGAGCATCACGATGTAACAAACTAGGCTGTTGTAAGAATTATCCAGAGTGGTTTATCGACAAAAGAGAATGGGAAGCTGAGCCGCATGGTGACCTGACCCCCAGGGGAATTCGCGGTGGAAATAACCAACGCTTTGTTCATAGCTGCGTATAATGAACCATCCTATAGTATTCAGCAATTTAGAGAAAATTAGCCTTTATTCATTTTGCATTAAAATTGTATTGTATAATAGTACTGGATACAATATCAAGAGTATTCTAATTATTGAGTTTAAGTCACCATCAGTGACGTCACGAATCAGATCTAACTTCTAAAGCGGAGTGACCGGCGGTCATAGGTCAGCAGGGTTGACATGTCTAATATTTCTCAAAGTTTTAATAACCATTTTTGTGATCGGGAACAGCTTTGCCGTTAGATGTTTGTGTAATCTAATTAAAGTAAAATAATTCAACCAGTCTGGATCAATTAAGTACAACAGAGTTTAATTGTTATAACTTAAACCTGGCTAGTAAAGAGCCAAGAGAGTTTAATAGCTAGTTTTTGATGGTAGAGTAGGGACATGTTATTTAGCTATGTCAGTAAGGATAGGATGTATGTTTCCTGATATTAGAGGATTGCTGTCAGTTGACAGCTGAGAAATTTATGAAATATGAACATGTTCATTATGATGTTGGACTATTATTTGTCAAATTTTATTAGTTAGGTTAGCTTTTGTTTGTGGCATGAGTTGAATTGTGGGTTTGGATACTAAACCTCGTGAATTTTAACAAATTAACAAGGTTTACCAAGTGCTTGTGCGGGGGGGTTGTAACAAACTAGGCTGTTGTAAGAATTATCCAGAGTGGTTTATCGACAAAAGAGAATGGGAAGCTGAGCCGCATGGTGACCTGACCCCCAGGGGGATTCGCGGTGGAAATAACCGACGCTTTGTTCATAGCTGCGTATAATGAATCATCCTATAGTATTCAGTAATTTAGAGAAATTAGCCTTTATTCATTTTGCATTAAAATTGTATTGTATAATAGTACTGGATACAATATCAAGAGTATTCTAATTATTGAGTTTAAGTCACCATCAGTGACGTCACGAATCAGATCTAACTTCTAAAGCGGAGTGACCGGCGGTCATAGGTCAGCAGGGTTGACATGTCTAATATTTCTCAAAGTTTTAATAACCATTTTTGTGATCGGGAACAGCTTTGCCGTTAGATGTTTGTGTAATCTAATTAAAGTAAAATAATTCAACCAGTCTGGATCAATTAAGTACAACAGAGTTTGTTATAACTTAAACCTGGCTAGTAACTTGGTAAAACTTTGACTAGGCGGAAGGATACAAGGTTCTAGTCTGGGCTAGGCCAGACGAGGACAAATCAGTGTGGTCACGGAAGCAGCTGGGATAAGAGGCCAACCATCTTACCTCTCCCCAAGACCAGCCCCAACATCTAGAGCTGTGGTCGCCCAAGGTATAGTTGCTATTGTTAATTATAGAAATAGTCTTCTCATTTGCCACTCAGGTCAAGTAGGGAGTGTTAAAGTGATAGGGAGTGAACATATTTAGATTTTGTTTTAGTTTTCTTTTAATAAATTAAATTTGTTATTAATTTGCATTTTATTGTTTCCATGTGTTTTATGTGTATACTTGTCCTGGTCACGTGGTCCACACGAGGCAGAGTTGCATTGGGCGCCGATTCTAACATCGAATCGGAATTATCATTACCGTGTAATTTATTCCACACTCAAGGTCATCGTTTATAGTGGGGATCAAGCCCCTAGGTTGATTAATTAGCGTGATCGATCCAGACCTCGATCATTGCTCTTGTATTACTGGTCTGGTGGTGGCAGCAGAGGTGACTCTAGGGTTTTGTTCAGAGCTTAGGTCACGTCATACTGGGTGTAGAATCCTAAGTCGGTCAATCGTCTTAGGACCACGTGGCGTGGAGTTGGCTTTGTTAAAAGTTTTGGAGTCCCTTGGTTTAGAAATAAAAGTAAGAATACGGGTAGAGGGAGAAGGAAGAGAAGTAAAGAGAGGAGAACCCGACCCGTGTTACAACTGTGCATCACGAGAGGTGTACTGTGCATCACGAGAGGTGTACTGAGCATCACGAGAGGTGTACTGTGCATCACGAGAGGTGTACTGTGCATCACGAGAGGTGTACTGTGCATCACGAGAGGTGTACTGAGCATCACGAGAGGTGTACTGTGCATCACGAGAGGTGTACTGTGCATCACGAGAGGTGTACTGAGCATCACGAGAGGTGTACTGAGCATCACGAGAGGTGTACTGTGCATCACGAGAGGTGTACTGAGCATCACGAGAGGTGCACTGAGCATCACGAGAGGTGTACTGTGCATCACGAGAGACTCATTGAAAAAGTACGACATGGGGGGAAGGGAGGGAGTTACAATAACAG